TCTAGGAACATATTGGTACGATCTGTGAAGATGCATCCGTGACTTGCAAATACTGTAAGAAAGATGTTTTGAGAAAAGACATTGAAAGACACGAGAGACGCGATTGCAATGAGGCTCCAGCGACTTGTGAGTATCAAGATGTAGGATGCAACCACGATAAGGTAATAGTTACTTGCTGTATTTGTTGACACACGCAGATTTTCTCCCGATAATTCTGTTTCAGTTCTTCCTATTGTAACTTTGCCTTATTAGAGCTATCCAGTATAAGCTTTTTCTACGCGTACTGTGATTATAGCAATGGACAGTAATGGATGAGTAGTACAAATAAATAAGATTTTCCTCATTTAAACCACACCAAGGACCACTTGCGTAACAGACTAAATTTTGATCTAGACAAGTCGGGACAAAAATTTCATCACAGCTTGAAAGAGCATCACAAACTGAGTAATATTCCAAAGTTTCGTTGCGAAATGTTGTAAAATGCGTATAATATAGCCTTGCGAAGTTTGCCGTTTTTCAGTCATTTTCTATTACAAACGGGAAATTGACAGCCCCAAAGGGTATTAGGCTATGTTAACTAGTCTCTCCGATTGTGAATAAAAACAATATATTTACCAAATGAATAAATGATACCAAAAAATATAGCTATAAAAGTCTACATCGAGCCTTTGAGACGTCGAGAGCATGCTCTCGACCCAGTCTTTTCTCTCGGCCAGAAACTGCATTACTAATTACACCCGTTTTCAAAATTACGCGACCAAGGACGAAAATGCTAGAGTTGACATGTCAGTTTTATGTCATTCGGTCACGAAGTTTAAACTTTGAGTTTTGCGGTTCCTTGTCGATGTATATGCTTTGTATGCTTTATATAAACAGGCTTACAATGATTTTCAAGATATTTTAGTGAGAATTATTGCAGAATTTAAGCACAAACAAAATCATAACATCACCGTTATAGTCTAGCGCGCGTGTTTTATACTGACAGCTAAATTCCAGGATAAATTGTTATTTTTCAAACTTTAAAAGTTATTCACGACACATATTTCTGTTGTGATGGTTTGTATTGTGCTTTAGTTTGTATATCTAAGTTATCTAACTAATATTTGTTCAGTTTTGGTATTAAATACGGTTTAAAATGTCTTTTGACAGTTTGTTTACGTTTGCTATTTTTTGGAGTTTTTGTGACATAAAACTGACATTTGAAGTAAGAGTATTTTTCAGGGAGGTCGCGTAATTTTGAAAATGGGTGTAATTATGTCAAAAATTAACAAAACTAAAACAATAATATGCTTCTCAACATTCCCCCTCTCCACACTGAAGTCTAATACCAACAGTGTGAACAAACAATGTCCAACTTTAATTAAATGTCAAAATATTAACTATCCGATATTACACTTCCAACGGAATTAGTTTGTGTATGGGCCTAATATATGTCTTTTGGCCACATTGTACTTTCGTGACTCTTGTATGTCCGTCCTTCCCGGGATAAACATCAATGATCCGTCCTAGCGGCCAATCTCCGCGCGATAAACCTTGTTGCATGACCAAGACCACATCACCCACATTTAATCTCTGACTATTTCCGACCACTTCGGTCTTACCGTCAACAATGGTAAACATTCCTTGAGCCATCTCCCACCACAATGGATGTTTGGCTAGTTCCAACGGGCTTGTTCCTCTGGTACACAAATCAGCTGGATTTTCGTTTGTAGACACGTGCTGCCATTGCGATGGATCGGAACCACTTCGTATCTCCCCGACCCGATTTGCCACGAAAGTACGAAAATCTTTGCCACGACCACGTATCCACCATAAAACGTCAATGCTATCCGAGTAGAAGATGACATCTTACATTGGTAGGTGTAATACAGCGATTACGGACTGTGTTAACCGCAATCCTAGAACAGGGCCCATTAGCTCCAACTTAGGTATTGTCACTGGGGTGCACGTGAGTGGTGCCACTTTCGACTTTGATGTGACTAACCGGAAAGTCACTTCATTATCCTCATACTCGTGTCGAATATACACCGCACAACCATATGCTTCCTTTGAAGCATCGACGAAGGTGGTAATTCTCGTTGAAACTACTGGCTTCGCCGCTCGAAGGCATCTCGGAACCTTCACAACACTCAACTGCTCCAATTGGTCAAACCACTTTGCGATTCTCTGAGCGATTTCATCTTTGATTTCATCGTCCCACTCGTAGCCTCGTGCCCAAAGTTCTTGGAGCAAGATCTTGGCAACAACTATGAAGGGGCTAACGAAGCCAAGGGGATCGAAGATTGTAGCGATCTTTCGCAAGATATTTCTCTTTGTAAGTTGCAGTCGCGATGCTTCGCATGTTGACATTTGGAATTCGTCATTCTTGCTATCCCAGGCAATTCCGAGGGTCTTCGTAGTTGGATTCTGACCATCATTAATGACAATTTCGCTCGCTTGATCTTCTATCGGGATTTCTGCAAGGACTTCTGGTGAATTGGAAATCCATTTTCTAGCTTCCATCTTTGCTTTGGCCCACAACTCTCTTAACTCATGTTACAACTTGATACCAGACTGTTCGTCTTCAACGCTGTCTATGGAATCATCCATATAAGTGGATTCCAGAACAGTCTCTGCTGCTAAAGGGTAAAGGTGTTGATTACGTCGAGCATTCTCTTGGGCTACGAATTGGGCTTCCATTGGTGCCGAGTTCTTTCCAAACACTACTCGACTAAACTCTTACTCATCCGCTTCGCTGTCGGTATCAAGGTTTCTCCACAATATGCGGAAGTATGGACGATTCTTCTCATCAATGCTTATTTGAAGATACATCTCCCGGATGTCGCAAACAAGGGCTATTGGGTTCCGCCGAAATCGTAGCAAGACATCAAAAAGATCTTTCTGCAGCTTTGGACCGGGGTGGATGACGTCATTCAGCGAGATTCCTTCACATTTCGCGGAACAGTCAAATACAATTCGGACTTTAGTTGAGGACTTATCCATTCTTATGACTGGGAAATGGGGTAGATACCATAGCCCCGGGGATTCTTTCTTATCAGGGTCAACTTTCCGGAGATATCCTTTCTGTATATAAGCCTCAATGGTTTTCTGATATTCGTTAGCCACAATGGGATTCTTTCGCAGATTTCTTTCGGTGGAGACCAGGCGAGATTATGCCATCTGACGGTTGTTCGGCAACTCGGGTCGATCACTTCGCCAAGGTACACCAACTTGGTATCTCTCATCCACTGTTTGCAACGAGCTCTCGACCTTTCCAAGGGCTAATTTCTCATCTTCGGTCACATTCTCGTACCCAGAGCCCTTCTTACGCGCGGTGCGACGAGGGGCTCTGGCCAAATCCATATTCCGAACGTTACAACACTCTGTCAATCTGTTCTCCGGATCTGTAGTTTTGGTATGCAGTGTTCTCTCCAGATGGGATCTTGAATGGTGGTTGGTATCTTTAGCAGCGGACCCAATACATGTCCAACCGAGCGGGCCAAGACGAGCTACTGGCCTTGGAAATCAACAATGGAGAAGTGCAGATCAGGGTTGTCCACACCAATCAGTAAATCAGCAAACCCATCTTTAGCTGGCGTAGCAAAATTGCATTGGGAAAGATGCGGCCAGTTTGACTGATATTGATTCCAATCCACCACTTGGTAGCTCCCTGTAACTGCTCTAGGACAGGTTTGAACATTTATGGTTTTAGTGAACTGGCGATCATCACTCTCTAAATCGATCTGCAGCGGCATTGACCTGAAGGTTTCCACAGAATCGTTTAACACTCGTACTTGTACAGTTTGCCAAGTAGTTCTCAATCCAAGGAGGCCAGCAACTTCTTCATTCATGAAAGATTCATTTGAGGCGTCATCTAACACTGCATTCACTTTCAACTTTTCTCCATTAGCTTTTACCCAAACTGGAACTGTTCTCAAAGACGTTGCCTCTGGTTGCAATTTGGACCGTTTCGATGTCATAGTAAGATTTGTTAAACTCTCTGCCCCCTCTCGTGAAGGGTCCGCCCTCTCGTCCGGAAGTAGAGGACCTGGTTTCCTGTTTTGGGCAGTGTCATGAAGTAGTCGGTGATGAGTGAGCTGACATCCATCAACACCACATGGGCGAGTCCGTCTACAGTCCTTTCCACGATGCTCATTGGATAAACAACGAAAACACAGATACTTTTCTTTTGCAACTTTCCACTGTTCTCTGACTGTTTTCTGTTTAAATTGGTTGCAATTCCATATCCCATGGTTACCCTGACCACAGAAAACACAGGGTGGCTTGGTTCTCTCTTCTCGTTTTTCTATACGGTTCTGAAAGCGGTCGTCCACTTCTTTTCCAGTAAAGTATGACCTTGGGTGACCTTCATCAGATTTTCCTCTGGAATCGTCGCTCAGGTAACAGTTTCTCATCCAACCCATGAGCCATTTCTTTCGCTTCAACCTTGATTGCCACTTCTTCTTTTAACCAGTCACACAAACTAGTAACTGCAGGTTCTTTGTTATGAACGTTTAATCAACGACTGTAACACTCTAAGTGTCGATCATGTAACTTTCGTACGAGTTGACTGTGCAATGTTCCTTCTTCAAGCTCTGCTTGTCGGTTTTCTGCTTTCAGCTTCACAACCGCCACTCTCACTAAATCAGCAAACCTTTCAAAATTGTCCACATCATTATAACGCAATGCTGGCATACTATCTAACTCAGCCATATAAGCTCTTAGTTGCCGAAGTTGCCCACCAAACTTTGTCTTAAGAATTTCTTTTGCTTCTGTGTATTCAGGTTCTGATACCCCTAGACCTCGAATTGCATCATGGGCTCGGCCGGTTAACCTTTGCTGTAATCTTACCATTTTGAGATTGATGGGTTCATTTGAAGCATCTACTAAACTCAGAAACAGGCTCCAAAATTCTTCAACTTTGGCCTTGGTACCATCAAAAACAGGAACGCGCAAAGCTTTAAGGTGACGATTAATTGCTGAATTACCCCCTTGGGTAATTTGGGGTGAAATTGGGTAAGGAAGGGTCGTGGTCTGGGTACCAGGTGGAATTGGGGGGTGGTAACTAGGGCTCTGATAAGGAAGGGTCGTAGTCTGGGTACCAGGTGGAATTGGGGTCTGGTAACTAGGGCTCGGGTCCTGGTGACTGTTCTCAGCACTCATGTCAACTTCGATTTCGTCATTTTCTTTGGTTGCCATACTAAATATCTGCTTTAAAAAACGGTTCTTTCGGTTGCCACGTCCTGGCAGGATCGCCAAATGTTAACTAGTCTCTCCGATTGTGAATAAAAACAATATATTTACCAAATGAATAAATGATACCAAAAAATATAGCTATAAAAGTCTACATCGAGCCTTCGAGACGTCGAGAGCATGCTCTCGACCCCGTCTTTTCTCTCGGCCGGAAACTGCATTACTAATTAATTATGTCATAAATTAACAAAACTGAAACATTAATAATATGCTTCTCAACAGGCTGTCAATTTCCCGTTTTCCCACGGCAAACTTCGCAAGGTTATATTATCCGCATTTTACAACATTTCGCAACGAAACTTTGGAATATCACTAATTTTGTGATGCTCTTTCAAGCTGTGATGAAATTTTTGTCTAGACTTGTTTAGATCAAAATTTAGTCTATTACACAAGTGATCAATTGCCTCAGAACTCTTCTTCATTATTCTACTAGGATGGCCCTTTATACTGGACCTCTAGCCAGTCGACGTCTGTGGTTTAAATAGTATAAAGTTATTTTAGGTTTCCTAAGGAAGAAAACCAATCTATTCATATTTGTGGTTGTGATGTTTTGTAAAAAAGTTAAAAAGTGCATTACAAAATCTCGAATTTTTAACTTCATAACTTTGGTAATAATCCCTCTCAGAAAACATGGAAAATTATACTGAGGCTTCGAAATGCAATTTTTTTGGAGGGCATGCCCCCATGCAGTCCCTTCCCTTAAATAAGCGCACACTTAATTTAAGTGGTTTATGTCGGGAAAAATTTTTTCGACCCTTTTTTTTGAATGTCCGGAAAATTTTTTTCAACTTCCGCCCCCCCTCCCCGCTCTCCAAGCAGACACCCCCCTAATTAGAAGGGGCTAGTTTCGCCCCTGGGCATTGCTTACTGGAACTGAAGGAGGAACAGTTTTCAACTATCAAGTTTTAATGAGGTTGGCAGTTATAAGTAATGAGAAATTGTTTGATTTGTTCATGTATCTGATAGTTAAGATTAAGTTTCATACTTCGATAAAATACTGCACACACGTAAAAACTAAAAACGCACAAGTTCTTGCAGGTCTGCAAACAAGTTGCTGGAAATCTGTTCACAAGTTGTCGACAAATTGTGTTCGCACTCCTTGTTCCCAGTTGTTGTAACAAGTTTGGAACAAGCTGTTAGCAACTTGTAACAAGCTAGCTTGATCGCATTATCAGACTTGTTACAGTCATGATAGTAAGAAGTATGTTACAAGGTTGGCAGTATTGTTATATCATAGCTGTATCCAGTGGCGTAGCTGGCTCAAAATAATCGTCCCGCCGAAGTTTCAATACACCTCTATTTAAACAGGAGTATTTTGCCTTGGTAAAATACAAAAAAATTGTAAGGAGCCCCATAGCCCGATGCGCGTGCAAAACTTTGAACTTGAACCTCCGGTCAAAGCTCTCGCGTAAAATTTAGATATTTTGAAATACCGAAATAAAAGATGCAAATCTGCAATACAAGCTTGAACACAACACTCTAAATAGTGTGTTAGATTGTGGTTCGAACAAGACTAATACCAAAAAGAAACGTTTAAAGTGGCCGAAGTTATATAATTTCGGCGAAAGGTATGGCTTAATAATAGTGATACATTGTTTACATTGTTTACATTGTTCGAGTATATAGGTATAGTTAGTTTACACTGTCCGAGTATGGATAGTTTATAATTTATGGCTATTTTACATTGTTCAATTACATAGTATCTTTTTGGTGGTATTTTCGTATTTCTACTGCAAATACTCGCGGAGTTCTTTAATATATGGAATTGACTTGACAACCTCCGCCTTTATAAAATAGCGGGACTCGGCATTAAAAACAGCCGTTCTGAGCATGCGCTGCACCAATTATCCAATCAGAAACCAGAATTTCTTCTATAGGATAGTATTGCATATTCCGCCATATGAAAATCAGCGGAACACGAGACATGCGATTATACAAATTGCGTGAGTAAGCAATCAATTGCGTGGAAATTAGCTAATTTTGGGTTTCGGAGGTCAAAGAGCAGACAGCAACATTGCGTAAACTTTAAAGAAATAAATGAAAGCACTGAAATATTTATAAATTTTCAGAATAAGAACAGCTGTGAATTCGGCTTCACTATAAAACATTTCCTCACTTTTTTTTGAAATTTCTAGTCCCGCCCGGCGGGACAGCGGGACCGCTAGCTACGCCACTGGCTGTATCGGACCTGTTGGAACAACCTTGCAACAACAAACAAATCCAATAATATCAACAATGTTGTTACAAGTTGTTCCATACAACATGACAACTTGGGACAACTAGTAGGAGCACAACTTGTTGACAGCCTGTTGGCAGACGTGCTACAAGATGTGAGCTTTTTACGAGTGTAGATAAGCAAATGTTCAACTGCTTAACTTACAAACGCTCAACTTCCCAATAGTCTTCTATAAGTTATTATTTGCCATTCATTTTTTATACGATTTGTAGACTTTGAAGCGAAAGGAACTGCGCCAACATTTGAATGATGGATTGATAAATCATGGTGGTCAACTACTGCAGTATACTCTTGCCGTTGCTTCTCAACTAAACGACTTCATCCCACGCCCAGAATATACAGGGATGTTGCAGAAAATCCGAGACGACATTACTGAGGTTCGCTCTGGCTTAGCTGAGAAATTCGACATGGTTGTCGGGAAGTTGACTGGCTTGGAAAGACGGATTGAAAGCTTGGAATCCAGTGGTGGTGGTGATACAAGGATTAGAAATGAAGTGCATGAACTACAAAGTAAAACTAGAGACCTTAATACTGAATGCGGCAACTTACGTGAACGGAATATGAGTTTAGAACGAGAAGTGAGAGACAAGGTGTCAATTATTGATCGTTTGCGAAGTAGGATGGATCAAGCGGATGAATCGCTTGCTCTGAATACAGTCAAAATTACCGATTTGGAGTCCCGAAGAGGTCCGCGTGCACAACAAGCTATCCACAGTTATAACGGCACTTTACTGTGGAAGATGGAAGGCTATGAGAGAAAACGACAAGATGCTATTAATGGGGTGAAGACGGCCTTGTACAGTCCACCTTTCTACAGCGCTCAGTATGGTTACAAGATGTGTGCTAAAATATATATGAATGGAGATGGTTTCGGAAAAGGATCGCATTTGTCGTTGTTTTTTGTTGTGATGAGAGGCGACTACGATGCTCTTCAAACCTGGCCATTTCAAAAGAAGATTACGATGATGCTGTTGGATCAAGGCAATGGAGATCACATGATTGATGCGTTTAATTCAGATCCTCAAAGTTCATCTTTTCAACGTCCCAAGTCTGATATGAATATCGCTTCGGGTTCCCCGCTCTTTATGCCACTGGATAGCTTGAGTAATCGTCAATATATCAAGGATGATGTCATGTTTGTGAAAATCATTGTCGACTGAACAAGATGATGTAGAATCTGAGGATGTTGAAGATGCTGACGCAATCTATATGCAAGTTCTAGTTCACTTATGTTATTTTGACTTTGTTATTATTTATGTGGGGTCTAGGTTATTGTTTCATGTTTAGCATTTGATATTTGCCTCGACTTGTAGTTTGAAAAGGAGTATTAAATTTTTTTCCTGCGCTTTGTCAGGACCAAACCAATCCTTGATACGGCAAGTTCAGTTAGAGTGTGGTTTTCTGAATGAGTTCTCCAGCTCGACAAATGGCCTCTGTAGCTGGTTCGAGGGTTCCTGCCAGACGTTTTTTAATTTTTCCAAAAACAAGTGTCTCTTGGCACTGCAGGTATCACGCACAAGTACTTTTGATTTATTTCCCTTTGGTCTAGTTGTCTTGGGAGATAGAAGTACTACATTGTGGTCAGAACTTCCAATTGGAGGTAAGGTTTCAGGTTGATTATAGTATTTATGGAGATTGGGTCAAGTATATTTTGACCTCTTGTCGGTACTTTAACAAGTTGTTTTAGGTTAAATGAGGAACACAAATCTCGATAGTTAAAATGATTAAAATCTCCAGTCAGAATAATAGACGCATTAGGAGAGGAGTCAAGGATACTATCTAAAGTTGATTGGATATAACTCATTAGATCTTTATTATCATATCCAGGGGGGTGATAAACAACTCCAACAACAATGGAATTGACTCCACGAGGCAGGCGATTAGGTCTGAGTAAGACCCACAATACTTCAAAATCATCATTCTCCAACTCTGTTATATGAATGCAATTAATATAATCTTTTACATAACAGCAAACTCCCCCACCACGACGGTCATTTATACGGTCTTTCCGAATTAATTGAAATGACGGCATACTAATAACTTCGTCAGGTACTTGAGAATGTAACCAAGTCTCGGTGACGGCAAAGAGATCAACACCATTGGCTACGGTCACTGAACAGGCTTCATCATGCTTGTTTAAAATGGAACGAGCATTTGTTATCATCAGTTTAGGAAGACACAACCGAGATGAACTTTGTTCGTTTACAAGTTTTTAACTTTCAAGTTTGTTTTATTAATATTTCTATCATTATTGGGGGGACGTCTTTCTCGGTTGGTAATTCTGACAGCAATAGGTTGTTCATCTACTGGTTTTGGATTGAACACGCGTGTATGTCGCACGGGGCTTCGCCTTCGCGGACGTTGGAAATTTTTCGAGTTGATGTTTTAAATTTAGGACCCAGACACATTGGACGCGATTCGACAACGCTGCGCGTTTTTTCGATTTTCACTGACCGATAACTTGGATCCTGGTTTAAGTTTTTCAAATATTTCAGTAGAAGCGCTATAATATTATATTTTGTGTTGTTTGGTCTACGTATCTTTTAAAATTTCCTTACATTGGCTGTTTTATCACCAGCAGGGCATTTTTTAAGAAATTACAACTACTGGGGCTAAGTCTCAATGAGGGCCTTTTCACCACACAGTTACGCGTACCTAAAGACCATGCTGTGTTGACTTTCGATGCAATGCCGAAATTGTGAGAGGACACGAGAAAGCAGGCAGATGCAACTTTTTCAACAAGGATGGCTTTTTACTAATGCTCGAAAGGGCCCAGCTCATCTGAAAATATTGCTTCACTACTGGGCAAGCGAAGGGCCTACTGGGGTAATTACCCCAGTAGTTACAGTTTAAAAATGCGGCTGTTTATCAGTTAACCTTAAAAATTGAAAAATCGCGCCGCGTTGTTGAATCGTGTCCGGTACATGTCTCGCGAGGCCTTTATAGTCAATTTTTGCAAGTGTAAATACTACTAGTACTATTTGTTCAGAGCTGTGTTCAGTTGAAATCATTCATATATAGTCCAGACTAGAAAAACCAAAGTTTGTGGGGTTTCTCTGCGGGTTTTTTTGTGAACTTGTTTTTCACTCGTTAGATACTTAACAGATAACTTTGCTTTTTATCATGAAAGTGTCAAGTGTGTCTAAAATTTGCTTATTCAGTGAAGAAACCACTTGCTCTAGTTTCTCAAGTTCATGATAGTTAAACTTGGACATAAAAAATAGTCGGCTTAATAAAAACATGAAATTTTTACATGAATTTGGACATTGATTTCGTACTGAATTCAGTGAATCTCCGGGGTAAGGGCCGGGGGCACGCCTACAGGATGGGCTTCAATTCTGCCATACTGGCTTTAAAAACAAAGCCAGAGTTATCATCCCAATTTTTAATAGATCCAAGTAGATGCTGTTGTTTCCAATGTTGGTCTACACTTGCACTTATAAGGACAACCATGTCTAAAATGAACATTAAGATTACAAGGGAAACCAATGGGTGGTATGGTTTCACAACCAGCGATGAATTTTAAAACATCTTTCAGTTTTAGGTCTGGAACCCCACTTATACCTAGATGAATGAAATAAAAAATTAGCTGTTCAGTGCATGTTTTAGCAGAGGTGAAACACATGGTCAAAGGCATTTATTGTCAGTGCCACCAAGAGGTTGCGTGGGGCCTGGGGCAAAACATTGCAAGGGGGTCTCTGACCCCCTTCCCCTGGTGGTCCTGGATATTGTTTGTACCGCTTCCAGTTTTCAGGAGCCCCCGTCATTCTGTATAGTGGCGGGGTTGGGTTTAGCCTGCGAGCATGCTCTGTTTTGGGGTCAGGGATCAGCCTTGGTACACTATAATAGGGGTCACACGTGCAATAATATAATAAGGGTCACTATAATAGGGGTCACATCGTGCAACCTAACGTGTTCCGATTTTTACATGTGTTTGTGACAGTGTGACCAGATTTGATAAAAAGTTTTACTTTTGGTAAAATTTCGTGAATTTTCAAGAAAATTTGGTAATGAGTTTTTTTTGGTGAAATTTTGGTAAAATCTGAAAGTTCTATTATTAATAATAATTTTGATAAAAATGTGTGTTTCTCGTTTAATAACGTGCTCAAAGTGATGAACAGAACTGCCAAGCCTAAGATCCCGTTTACACGGTACCAGACGAATTTGGGATTGTTCTGAAATTCGTCCGTTCAGTCGGCCGTGTAAACACACGAGAACCACGGAACCGGCGAATTTGAGACCCCCTATTAAACAGGACGAATTCCCGACTTCCCGTGTAAACAGGCGAAAAAGGACGAATTTCAGACCAGTCCCAAATTCGTCCGGTACCGTGTAAATGGAGCTAGTATCATTAGCAGCAACTGCAAAGCAACAAGTATTTCGAGATACCTCTTTGTGCATACTTGTTCTACTTTGATGACGTACTATTGTTTTTTGGCATTATTACCATAGAGATTATAAATAACACTAGAGGAGGCATCGAGTTTAAAAATTGGGAACGCAGCTAATGGGGGGCAAATTCAAGTCCCGGATATAAAATCGTGCTCTCATTGGCTGATTTGAAACTCGTCACCAATGGGAACACGAATACACATCCGTGACTTGAATTTGCCCCCCCAATAGTCGCGTTCCCTTTTTTTACTGAATTAAGATTACAATGCCTCCTCTAGTGTTATTTATAATCTCTATGATTATTACAACGTAATTATTTGGGAATTATAATGATTCCCTTATTACGTTTTCGTAGCGCTTTGCATTGTGGTTGTAGTGGTATCAACTGATATTCAAGATGGCTTATTTTTTGTCCTGACCCGTGCAAGAACTTTTAAAAAAAGCTAGGGTCAGGTGTGCGATAGCCAACAGCAAAATATTTGCGAAAACATTCAATATTTTCATTCGAGGCCGCTATCTTTATCAGTGATACCACTATAACCACAATGCAAAGCGCTGGGAAGCCGATATTTGGTAAAATTCTTAATTTAGTAAAATTTGA